TTTCAATTAGGAAATTTGAGAACTTAGGAACTGAAAAATTTTGAAATTTAGGAATTCAGAAGTTTGAAGAATATCGAAATTTGCATTTTAAATTCAGAAATTTAGGAATTTAAGAATGTAGACATTACTGAAATTAGGAAATTTGAGAACTTAGGAACTGAAAAATTTGGAAATTTGCATCTTAACTTACAAATTTAGGAATTTAAGAATATAGAAATCACTGAAATTATATAATTTGAGAACTTAATTTGTGAATTATTAAACTTAGTGTAAAAATTTCGGCAGTCAAAACATAAAAAATTTGAAAAATCAGAAATTCGAAAATTTGTAACATCGAAAATTTCCAAGTTCATACAATACTATAGATTACAGATTAGAAGCAGCTAATACAGTGTTTGTCAGACGCACCGTCTACTTGCATTAGAATATGTATATTAACACAACTGATGTTTGCCATACTTGTCACGACGTAATGGAAATCATGCAATTAACACGAGCGATTAATTATGATTTATAAATATCTTCAGAATAAAACTTACATTAATCGTGTCACAGATAGAAGGCAACTATTATAAGAAACAACACGCAAAGGTAAGTTTTGATATAATAAATTACCAGTAGAAAATCGAGAACTGTAATTAAGTGTACAGAAGTTGTTTTATTGCTTCTAAGATATGTGAACGAAATTAATGTTAGGAAGTTATCTTTCATTTGTGAATAAATTTAGCTTGAAACTTTAATCGCATTTTCTTTAAACTCGTATTTCTTGATCTGATTGATAAGCTAGTCGATACGCTATTTATCCAAGTACATTGATTCTATTACATAAGACTAAAAGTATTGTTACCTTCGTCAAAAATATAACAATTTGTTTAACTATTTTAAAAAAAATTATTAAACAGACCAGTCTAAGCAAAAGTTTTTTCTTCAACATACCTCTCATCAATTATTTGCAATATCAGAGTAAACCGTCTATAAATAATTCTTATAAACTTATAATTAATGTGGAATTATAGCCGTTTATTTCGTGATAAGAAGAAAGTCAGGTTTTTATCGCAGAGAATGAATTTCATTTACTGTATAAAAATATTTAATAAGTTTTTCAGTTAAATATGAATGTATATGTTTCATTGGCACTTGAGTTTATATAACCAGAAATTTTTAATAGAAATGTAATTAAAACTATCAATTTTTGTTTGTTAGCATTTGGTCCCTTTAAGAGAAAGATTTATAAGATACTAACAGTGAATAACGATACTTACATGTAGTAAATAGTTATATTTGGAACGGATTGTCGACTAGTAGACACTAAAACGAAGTTAGTTACGCTACTTCAAATGAAGACTGAAATAAGGTTTATGAACACGTTGGATGTCACGATGAAAATAACCATGTCCAGACGGTACATAACGATAAGAATTTAATATACAAATCTCCGAGGTAAAATTATGAAATTTTGTCTTTCTTCTTTTCTTAATTATTTCATCATTCTGAGCTCACACTCTCAAAACACTAATGATTTGAGGATTTTGGACAAACATCTAAATAATTTTTATCATTTCGATTACGTTTCCATTTGTGTAACGTAAGAAAAAAAAATCGTGTGAAACTTTTGTTAGTAATAATTGACAGGGAAAATGTTGTAACATACGTGACCGACATGATTAATATGTAATTTTGATCACGCAATTTTATTTAATTTTATTTTTCAGTAGAACAAAACGAATCACTGCAACCAAAAATGTCTGTATTTTATTAGAAAATTAATTACAGTTTAACTGTCCTATAATTAGTGTTCAAAGTTAATAGACATTGCATATGTTTCAATTCTGAAAAATTTTACTTTTAGAACAAAAATTGCAAAATTTACCACGTCGATCCAAACCCTGGAGTCCACTAGCTGCTCCAATAACTCAGCTAAAATTTTAGCAGAATTTAAAATAAGAATGTTTACATAAAAAACATTTGACAAACACCTAAATTTTAAGTGTTTTTAAGAAGAAATAAGTTTTTAAGAAGATAAGTATAAATAAGATCAGTAAATACAAATTTTAGAAGTAAACAGAAATGGTTACTCCGTGGCCACTTTGAATCAAAATGGCGACTGAGTCAAACACTGTCTCTCTTATGCGTTACGATTGATATTGAAAATATGTATTACATAAGAATAATATGATTCATTGAAACCTTTTCGTGTATTTTATGGTTTTACTGTACTGTTTCATGACCTTGGTGATGCAAGAACATAATTCATTGGCTTATACATGTTTATTTAAACTCGTTCGCTGTCAGTGTAACATATACGTCCCATTTAGGTTTATTAGTTTCTGTACCTGTAACAACGTTCAAAATCCATCTTTGAGTGTACTACTATTTGGTGCAAGGCTCAGTTACAGCGTTTGAAGGATTATTTTACTATTTTCCTTATTAATTTATATTTTTTGTCCAAGCCTGCTTTTTTGTTTGTATTTCTTCACGACTGGGTTTTTTGAAATTAATATGTAAATTAATAAACAAAATTAATGGAGTAAAGTTTATTCTACTTTACATAAATTGCTTTTGTTTCAAAATTAGATTAGTTTATTTGTATTATTGTTTTTTAATCTTTTGCGTTGTGAATTATTTTTCGTTGTAACTAACTTACATTCTCTTCAAGTATGCAGTCAAAATATGTGAAGGTTGAAAGAAATTTAATTGTAATAAAAACCTTTTATCAGGGAAACAGTTGGACGGTAATTTTCAAGAATATGATCAATTTCATAACATAGTGCAGTGTCATAGTTGCCATAAACCTAGTTCTTTGCTTTTGATAAATTTTGTAAAAATTTCGATCATTCATGAATAGAATAGCTTAAGGAAAATAAAAAAAAATACAAAACAAATTTCACTCACCTAATAACTAAAAGCGATCCACCATTTTGCAAACTGGATTAAGTCATTTTTGTTAAAATTCAATATCCAGATATTTTGTGTATTAAATTAGTGAATTTAATCCACAGAATATCTGGATATTAACCATTACAAAATTTCTCAAGATTAGTATAAAATCTTGAACTGCATTAACATGAAGCCCTAATGTTTCTTAAAGATATAAATATCATTTCATGTCATTTAAGTATACTAGACAAATAACATCTCTGTTACTAACACCCGAATAAGTGAACGCAATCTTAAGAATTTAATTAACAAAAAAAGCAATAGATACTAAACAGGATTCCAAGTAAAATTATAATTAAAAAGATAACAAATATCAAAGAATAAAGAAATTAACTCAGAAAGTTAGTGTAATTGTCAAAGTATACATGTACATACTCCAGCAAAAAGTAGCAATCAAGAAAATAGCACAGAACGCATAAAACTATCGTTAAGTCACTTTTAAATTATTCTGATCCATTTTGTGGATTAAAATGACAGGAACTTTCTGGATTACTATTAGTACGTTATACGCTTCATACTCAAATGACTTCCACTGATTTAATGCGACTCATACTAATAAAACTTAAAGATCATAATAAAACAACTAATTCATCAAGATTTCATTAGAACATTAACAGCGGAATACATATTTTTGATCACCGCGTCCTGCTGTGCGTCCTCGACAGTCCCATTACGATTCTAAATAAGAAATAAAAGCATCAAAAGAATTCTAAACACTATTAGAACAACAACAGGTATATTACGTATACAGAACAGCAAATCAAAATATCGTACTAAAAACAATATTTAACATCCTAATCCGAAGCATGTCTTGCTATGACCGTTTCTACTGTGTGAACGCGTTAAAAATACACGAAGCAGATCACCGGATACCATAAACGACCAGCGAAAGCTGCTAATTTCCGAGATAGCACCCATGGTGTTCGAAAATTGAATCGTGGTAAGGAATTGGCAAACGCGATAAATCTGGTCGCGTGTAGGATCGATGGATCGATAACAGTTTCTAGTCAGTGCGATTGATTTCGATGGTCCCGCGATACTTCCTGACGTCATCGAGGCGTTTGTTTAATGAGCGGCTACCAGGTCTCTCCCCACGAGTCGTCCCTACTCAAGCAGAAATCGCGACCAGAGGGAGACAGAGCTAGCCGAGTTCGTGGAGGGGGCGTAGGGAGAGTGAGAAAGAAAGAGAGGAAGGGGAGAGAGGTAGTATCGTGTCGGACGCTGGACGAGGCGCACGTTCGATGCGAAGCAGTGTGTGCTTTCACGCACGGAAACCAAGAAACGGTGTGTACCAGGACCACGGTGTTACTCCTACAAAAAAAGCAATAGATACTAAACAGGATTCCAAGTAAAATTATAATTAAAAAGATAACAAATATCAAAGAATAAAGAAATTAACTCAGAAAGTTAGTGTAATTGTCAAAGTATACATGTACATACTCCAGCAAAAAGTAGCAATCAAGAAAATAGCACAGAACGCATAAAACTATCGTTAAGTCACTTTTAAATTATTCTGATCCATTTTGTGGATTAAAATGACAGGAACTTTCTGGATTACTATTAGTACGTTATACGCTTCATACTCAAATGACTTCCACTGATTTAATGCGACTCATACTAATAAAACTTAAAGATCATAATAAAACAACTAATTCATCAAGATTTCATTAGAACATTAACAGCGGAATACATATTTTTGATCACCGCGTCCTGCTGTGCGTCCTCGACAGTCCCATTACGATTCTAAATAAGAAATAAAAGCATCAAAAGAATTCTAAACACTATTAGAACAACAACAGGTATATTACGTATACAGAACAGCAAATCAAAATATCGTACTAAAAACAATATTTAACATCCTAATCCGAAGCATGTCTTGCTATGACCGTTTCTACTGTGTGAACGCGTTAAAAATACACGAAGCAGATCACCGGATACCATAAACGACCAGCGAAAGCTGCTAATTTCCGAGATAGCACCCATGGTGTTCGAAAATTGAATCGTGGTAAGGAATTGGCAAACGCGATAAATCTGGTCGCGTGTAGGATCGATGGATCGATAACAGTTTCTAGTCAGTGCGATTGATTTCGATGGTCCCGCGATACTTCCTGACGTCATCGAGGCGTTTGTTTAATGAGCGGCTACCAGGTCTCTCCCCACGAGTCGTCCCTACTCAAGCAGAAATCGCGACCAGAGGGAGACAGAGCTAGCCGAGTTCGTGGAGGGGGCGTAGGGAGAGTGAGAAAGAAAGAGAGGAAGGGGAGAGAGGTAGTATCGTGTCGGACGCTGGACGAGGCGCACGTTCGATGCGAAGCAGTGTGTGCTTTCACGCACGGAAACCAAGAAACGGTGTGTACCAGGACCACGGTGTTACTCCTGGATGTGATCCATGCCGTCCTGCTGGCGAGCCTCGCCGACAGGACTGGTCACGAGCCTGTGTCCCGGAGCGTCCTCGCGAACACGTCCGAAAAGTAGTCACAGACCGTACGTCGTCGAGCACGCGGCACACGTGAGCGGAACGAAGACGAACCGCTACCGAGCACGGCCGAACGCCAACGAGCTGCGACGATCGTCTCGACGAGGTATCCTGGCTCACCGCTGATTGGCCGAAACTTCGAGGAAGTGGTCACCGTCGATGAGAGCTCGAACCACACCGCCACGTGAGTTTAGCGCCGTATCGCGAATCAGGATATCGCGCCTCTTTTCATCGTATTCTGGAGCACCGGACCCTCCAGCTTTAGCGCGCCAAGCCTAATCTGGATACATGACACTCCGGCTACGTGTTCGGCGATCACTTCCGGGAAATCTGGTTCGGCAGAAAGATGGACCATGAATTTGCATATCTTATGAAAGTCGAACAGATTTGACCGACGGCGTCATCTGTGTCGATTAAATCTCTGCAAGTAGCTTACGAACTGAGTGACGAGTAACCTCAACGAGCTAATCGTCAAATATTAGAATATTCTGTTCGTTTCGCCACTGTTCCCTCGAAACTAGAACGGTAGAATTTGCTTGACCCTGGATTGAAGAAGGAGTATCGATCTACGTCATCATGTCATCACGTAGCGATCCTGATCTAGGCCAACGTCTTTACCCCATATGACGTTGCGTCTTTCAGCCGGTGTCTTCTGGACGGTTGTTTCCCTTCTAAATATAAAACTATAGACGTCGAACTTTAACCATAAAAATGGCCAAGTTTCGGAGCGAGCAAGAGCTAGGATCGCGAAAGCCTCGAATTCGGTTTTCTGCCAAGTTGAACACGATTGTTCATTGAACGCTTCGAATTCGATGTCGCGAATCTGTCACGTGACTCTTTATTAACGACAGAGAAAGTGTCTTTCAGTGTTTTGATTGCAAGTGAATAGTGAACGTTTGTCAGGGAAACTATTTTCCCCTATCGTTGATCATTAGATCGTGTTGTCTACGGAAGTAGCGTATCTATAATTTTAAAGTGTTGGCATCACCCCCTTTCTTTAAATTCGAAACCAAGGTAAACATCTAGTGTTAAATACCACGCACAAACGCGTAGCAAAACTTGTTGGATATAGCTTTTTACAATTTAACAATAACAGTATTATAACAAAGCTATTTATCGAAATCTGCATAATATCATTTTGTAATATTTAACATTATTTATATTTGACAATGATACGTATGTATATTTAGAACGCATATCGAGAGAAAACGAGATAAAATCAATTAGGTGGGTAGTCGGTAAACGGATAAAGTATACTTCTTAGGTTAATTGAGAGATTGTCAATGACTCACCTCGCTTAGTGACTCGGTGACTCGGTGATTTACCAGGAGAATCGACAAAAAGTTGGGACCGCGTGCGTGTCCCACAATACGACACGAAACTGTTAACCCACCCTTGGTCACGAAAGTATTCCTGCCGATTTGCAAATTATTGCCACAACGTGGATTTGAAATTACCTATTTCTGGTAAGTGACTGTTTTGGTGACATTTTGTGATTCAAATACCTTCCCGCGTTGACTGTCACAGTGAAATTTGACGTATGTGGTCAGACATATTATAATGTAAGTTACCGAGGACACGTCTTTTAATTACTGTATAAGACTTAACAGAATTTTTTTGTTTGCTCTTTCGTTAATTAATTAAATTGAATATTTTATAGTCGGTCGACCACTGTGACAGTCAATGTGTTAATTAACAATGACCAAAAGTAGTTAATTATTACATTGGATTTTAGGAAATGGATGTTATTTTATTTGTAATCGGTTTTATTTGTCTACAATTAGGTATTTTATTTATTAAATAAATTTTGTTTTGTATAATTCTATTTGTTTATATTATAAATATAATTGTTATATTTATTTTAAATATAATTAAACTTGCAGCAAAGTTTTGTTATTATAGGTAGTGAAATTTTGAAGAAAGTTTTAGAAATCCAGTAGATTTTATTTGTACATGATTTACGAAATTTATAATATTATCTTATGCATTATCTACACTATGTTATTTAATAAAATTTGAAGAAGATTTTCAGAAGTTGAATAAATTGAACACGTGCTCCAAAATATCATACAGTGTGTCCCAATAAAATGTACACGCAATCATAATTTGATAAATGAAATTATTATTATTATTCAATTCAAGATTTTTAAAATGGTCACCATTAACATCAATGACATCTAACAGTTTTAATACATTTAACACATTTTATGAGGACACTCTATGTTTAATGCAACTGACGTTGATTTAAACTTTGTACTAACTGCTTATTGTTTGTAAATGATGTTAAATAAAATTTAAAGACAATTAAAAATTGAATAAATTAGAAATGACATATACTCCAAAGTTATATATAGCATGTCCCCAAAATGTATACATAATTTAATATTAACTGTTAATTATTTGTAAACCATGTAAATAAATAAATAAATATTATATATTATATAAATAAAATTTAAATGCATTTTAAAAGGAATGTAAATAAATAAATTCAAAACAAAATTATAATGTGCCTCGATAAAATACATATTTTATTACGATAAAATTTAATAAATAAAATGAACAGCGGTTAAGTTGATGTTATCTCACTTATTTCAACGATACTATCATTCTTGCATTTGATTGTTATTTAATGTGCGTACGCACTTTACTGGAGTGCCCTATACTTGATACAAGTGATGCTTCTTAAAAAATTATACTAATTACTCGTTATTTGCACACCTAAATTAGTAGGGATTCTGTATTAACGGCATCTTCTGAATAAACTAATCCATCAAAACTGTTATTAAATTAGACATTTCATCATTTAATTAATCATAGATGCATTAATTTAAATTTTATTATTCGTATCCAGCAATTTTGTATTTAGTAAACAACGCATCTGTATTAAAACAAAATTTAGTGATTACGAATAGAAAAAATAAACGGTATAATTGAAAAATTGCTATAACGCTCATATACTTAAGATTCAGATGTGTTTCATTTGATTAAAATTCAAATATGCAAATTATAAGATTTAGATATAATTTACGTCCTGAATTAAGAAATCTATACTTTACCTGCTGAATTACAAGATTACTTTACCTTCTAAATTACAGGATTGAGATATATCTCGTCTTCTGTATTACAAGATTCAGAATAATCTATGCTGTAACAGTGTCAACCGGTAGCAAGATACGATGCAAGGAATTGCATGTACTTTTTCACAATCGATTATAAATGTAAATTTATTCACATACTCAGTAACCGGGAACAATGTAAAATGCAACTGATGATACCTCTTAACTATGCTGTTGTACGGAATCGTACAGCACTTATGTAGAAGTAAATCCGTTGTAAAACGTCGTTTTTCATTAAACTGGTCGGTTCAGCAGCTCCAACGAGCGAATAGTTGAAGAGCACGTTTTCTCTTACCATCAGGACAGCGTGTCATATAAGAAATATCGCCCTCGAAAAAGCTTCGAGCAGCTTCCATTAGCGGAAGCGGACAATGTAGCTAACTGAAGAATTCTTGATAGACGGAACATATCGCGGGACATACATAGCGTACAAAAGCACGCTAAGTCTGAATGAATAGCTCAAGGCGCCCAGAGGATGGCATTTGCGGATATTTAGTTGGCGAAACATCAGCTGCCAGTTGCCAGAAATTTCTGTGCTACACTGAATATCGTAACATTTGATTGTTATTTAATGTGCGTACGCACTTTACTGGAGTGCCCTATACTTGATACAAGTGATGCTTCTTAAAAAATTATACTAATTACTCGTTATTTGCACACCTAAATTAGTAGGGATTCTGTATTAACGGCATCTTCTGAATAAACTAATCCATCAAAACTGTTATTAAATTAGACATTTCATCATTTAATTAATCATAGATGCATTAATTTAAATTTTATTATTCGTATCCAGCAATTTTGTATTTAGTAAACAACGCATCTGTATTAAAACAAAATTTAGTGATTACGAATAGAAAAAATAAACGGTATAATTGAAAAATTGCTATAACGCTCATATACTTAAGATTCAGATGTGTTTCATTTGATTAAAATTCAAATATGCAAATTATAAGATTTAGATATAATTTACGTCCTGAATTAAGAAATCTATACTTTACCTGCTGAATTACAAGATTACTTTACCTTCTAAATTACAGGATTGAGATATATCTCGTCTTCTGTATTACAAGATTCAGAATAATCTATGCTGTAACAGTGTCAACCGGTAGCAAGATACGATGCAAGGAATTGCATGTACTTTTTCACAATCGATTATAAATGTAAATTTATTCACATACTCAGTAACCGGGAACAATGTAAAATGCAACTGATGATACCTCTTAACTATGCTGTTGTACGGAATCGTACAGCACTTATGTAGAAGTAAATCCGTTGTAAAACGTCGTTTTTCATTAAACTGGTCGGTTCAGCAGCTCCAACGAGCGAATAGTTGAAGAGCACGTTTTCTCTTACCATCAGGACAGCGTGTCATATAAGAAATATCGCCCTCGAAAAAGCTTCGAGCAGCTTCCATTAGCGGAAGCGGACAATGTAGCTAACTGAAGAATTCTTGATAGACGGAACATATCGCGGGACATACATAGCGTACAAAAGCACGCTAAGTCTGAATGAATAGCTCAAGGCGCCCAGAGGATGGCATTTGCGGATATTTAGTTGGCGAAACATCAGCTGCCAGTTGCCAGAAATTTCTGTGCTACACTGAATATCGTAACGTAATTCCCCGGATCACTATAAAAGTAAACAACGCCCAGATATCTGGATCGTCCTGGAGGAGACAACTCATGACTTCCAAAATACTCGCCGACACTATACTCTAATCGCGCATCGCTCCTCTCCGTAAACGGTCGAGCTAATGACAGGCAGGAAACGGCGTTTAATTAAAGTACGCACTTCCGGTAGGAACGTTTTCACGAGACTGCGTCGCTGTTCGCCGCGCACGCTCGAATCGTCCGTTGCGTAATTCCGAAGCGGAGATAAAGGAACGAATTATCGCGCCACGATGTTCCCACGTTTTCTTCCGCCGTTTGCTGGATCGAGAGCACCTTACCAAACATATAGCGTCTGCGTTCCGAGCACTTCAAACTCTTGCATATAATTAGTGAAATTATTGCTTTAATATACCGAAGACAAGGTTCATCTCTCTGATCAATTTTGAACTTCTAAATGAATGATCAATCTTGAATTTACGTTTTCATCTTAGCTTGTTTATTCGACGGAGTCTGTGACTTGCGTTCATAAGACACTTCCGACGACTTCAAACTCAATCATTAACAAATTAATTAATACTTACTGCAATCTTTGATTCAGGCAAATTTTTTGAATAAAGCTGCACGACTTGCATAATTAACAAATGACGTATGTTATGATTGAACATGAATCTATAAATCTGGATAGTGAATGTAGGTAAATGAGTAGATGTGAGATTGAACATGAATTTATGAATATAGGTGATTGAATTAACCCCTTGCACTATTATTTAGTCCGCAAATGCCTCAGACGTAAAAAACTATTGTTAAGATGCTACAATGTTAAGATGCAAAATGTTAAGATGGATAAAGAAAATTAAAATGTCATGCAGTTTTCTATTCATTGACCGTGAAAAATATAATTTGATTTAGACTGAAAATTCAAGCGCACAGGAAAAGTTTGCCATGCTTGATCTACGAATGCGTCACTAACAGTTCATCGTTACAGTGCAAAATGTGAATTTAATGAATGAATCTGTAATAGGAAATTATGATGTGAGTGGTTTTCAAACATGGTTACATGGTTAGGTTAGATTTTGAAATATGGTCACGTATAAAGAGTTGACTGATATTAATTATTATAAAAGTAATTTAAATGATAGGAGAAAAAGTTTATAAGTTTATTAAAGTTCTTTTAGCGGCTACTCATATGCCTTACACATATGACATAATCGCTTTGTTAGTAGTACTCTTCTATCAGGATATGAAGGTCATCTTCAATTTTTTAAATGGAATGGTCATCGATCATCGT